TATAGCATAGGCTGGGCTTCATTTCATTAAGTGTACTAACTTTGTGCACTGATTGCTTGTTGAAGAGAAAAGCTGCATAAATTCAGTCGATGGAGTGATGTTGTGAGATGAGAGAGAGAAAGCAAGACATGGCGGAGCGACGGGTGGGCAATGCAACAATGACAGCACAGGGCTGGAAAAAAGCTGTGCAAACAACTGGAAGATATGGGCACCGAATCCCTAGTACATGTTTATTGCCTCATTAACTGTTTGTTTTTAGGGGCGAAGCTCCTTAAGACCTCACGATGTTCGCCGTCTCCAGTCTGTCGGTCACACCATGTAACCTTCAACTTATAAGCAACAGAGGGCGTTGGTGGTAACCGTTTTGCATGTAACTTTCAACTTATAAGCAACAGAGGGCGCTGTGGTTAATTGTAGGTGTGATGACACTGCTGTCAACGCTATATATATATAACCACGTTCCATACCAGACATTCTCTTCTCTCATATGGACGAAGACGAACGCAGAAAAGCGCCATGTGCCGAGTATCAGCGTCGCCGCCGACGGGAAGCTACCGCGGAGACAAAAGAGAAGGAAGCGGGTGAAAAGCGGCGACGGCGACAACAAAGTTCTACACCACAGACTAGGGCTAAGGAAGCAAAGGCTAAGCGGGAAAAACGCCAAGCTGATGCACAGTTAAGACAACTTGAAGTGGATGCAAGGCGGCAATACCGACAAGAAAATTCTACACCAGAGACAATAGCTAATGAAGCCGTGATTATGAAGTCGAAACGTAACCCGGAACTTCATATCAGCTATAAAGAAGAATCACCGCTATATCACAATCGGTCTCAGCACTATCTCTTTGAATAAAAAAAATATATATTTATCACAACCACAATCAGTTTCAGTACTATTTCAACTTTATTCACAATAATCACCTCCGAAAGCATTGCCCCATAATTATCTTCAAGCAGCTTGAAATGCAGTGATTTTTTTTTTCCTGTCCTGCAAAACAGAGCATGCGGGAACTTGCACCAGAGTATTACTTTTGAAATGGAAAGTTTGGCGGATCGACATCAATCTATCACAAAGAACAGGTCACACTGTGGGCTTTAGACTAAATTCAAGGATTTTCAAGGACAGAAAACAAAAATCAAGGACTTCAAGGGCCTTGAAAATGTACCTTCTCATTTCAAAGGTTTTGAAGGGCTTCAAAGGTCTGCATGCACCCTGTGACAAGTTTTCTGGACCATGTAACTGTGTCCCAACAGTAGGCTTGTACAAATAGTGAATTTTAATTTCCAAGCAAATTTAAAGCAAATAGTGATTTGGTTTGAATAATTTTAGTATATAATATGTTGGGTTTAACATCCCAAAATCACGCTATGATTATGAAGGATGCTGTAGTGGAGGGCTTCGGCAATTTCAACCATCTGGTGTTCTTAAACACACCCCGACATAGCACAGTACATGGACCTCTGCCATTTCGCCTCCATTGAACTGTGATCGCCGCAGTTCGAATAATTTCAAACTGAGAATAGAATCTGTCACACTTATAAAGAACAATGAGCATATTTGTCACGACCCCGCTAACCTGCACAATGTTTTTTTTTTTAATTGAACCAAGGCATGAGCAAATGTAATTATTTTTGGTCCAAAGGAAGTAGAAGCAACTTTGAATAATATCTACCAGGATTTCACTCTCGGTAGAATGCAAGTAATAACCAGCAAAAGATGTAAAATTTTAAAATTTACTATACTAGGAGAAAATTAACTTGTATAACAAGCTTTTAAACTAAAAAAAAAAATAAGAATCAATGTGAGGGTAACATGTTCATTTAACCTTGAAATGAGGGTTTAGGGCAGTGTAGATTTCCTCTGTAAAGGCATGTGTTTATGGCACAGCAATGCTCTACTGCAGTGAACCCACATTTACAGAGAAATTACATGTGGACTATTACATTTATTCGTTCATTTTGGATACTTTGAAATTTCCAAGAATTTAAATTCAAATCAAAGCAAATTTGAACCCATTTTTATTTGTCTGATTATTTGAGTTGCTCGAATATAGGCACCAGCCTACCAACAGTTCTTTTTTTTTTTTTTTTTTCAGGCTGTGTGCACACATGATTCTGCAGCACAATGCCATTTTGTTGACATTTTCAACCACCATTCAACGGGCCAACTAAAGTCACCTACCATAAAAGACAAGCAAGTCATTATTAGCACCTGCAGCCACCAAGTGGTCATGTCACCTGACTGTGTAAAGCCTGCTCAACCAAATAGTGAAATGACAGCACTTCCTTTGACCACAACCCCACTTTCTTGGGGGCCTTCAACTAATTTGCAGCTAAAGCTCCAAAGGTGTCCGCACTAGGCACAGGCAGCAGGTGGTACTCAAGTGTTTCAACTCATTTTAATCAGTAGCATTGTATCTGTGTAAATGCACAGCGCACTGTTTTGAAAGTTCTGTGGAGGAGTTCACATATCGAGACGCATTGGAGCACTTCAGTATTGTCAGCTACACAAGCATCGCGTCTGGGTCACCACTGTTGCAACAAGGATATGGGGAAGAGAGTCTCATCAGCTAGATAACTTAGCTATAGAACTAGTTTATCTTTGTATTCCGTTGGGACCGCATGACAGTTGTCTTCACTCTCATCAGTGACTAGAAGATAAAATGGTTCCATGCAATGCCAGCGACATGCCTGCCTGGCTTGTTTATGCCTCAATAAGGTGACCAGATTATGCATGCCCAACACAAAACAAAGCACTCTGATAAAGCACCCACCCAAAAAACTAGTGTGCTGTATGCTTGCCATAAGTGATCATAAAATACTATCAACAATTTATGTACAGGTATGCACAAGTGAACAAATAATGCGCAGTCCCATGAGCAAAAACATTACAAATAAAAAGAAGTGTTAACTGCACTCCTCTAACAATAATCAAGCAAATTATCAACCAAGGTAATTTGTGGTTCTGGGACATTACGCCACATATTTTTAGGCAAGCCAATTTGTAAATGATACATAATATTATTATGTCAAATTTTCTGACTGGTTTCTGTCAATACTATGCACCTGCATAACTATTAGCCTACTTATTTTCTATGTCCTAATACTGATTCAAAGTAGTGAGCATTTTCAGAGAATTGTTCTAAAAAGGCTTTCATTTAGTATTCCCACGTGATCTTAGCAATCTGACAGCTCCGGAAATTTCAATGAATTGCCTGATTGATGAAGGTCCATGCAAACCATTGCACATGCCAGGAACCTGTCATGAAGACTCTGATCAATATTGAAGTACTACCGTAATTATTATATTATAGGTCGACCTTTTTTTCAATAATGTTGCTCACAACCAGATAATGACCTATATTCATGACTGAAAAATCTCGACATGAATCAATGATCAAAACAACCAAAAGCACCGAGCTTATGGAGCCAAGCAGTTCCTGCCACGTATGCACATTATATAAAATAAAATCTGGAATAAAAACCACCCCCGTCCCTTTTCTGACTAAGTAATTAGGAAAAACAAAGGTTATTGATTCAGTAGCCGCATACCACTTTTTCAAAGCCCTCGCGAAATGCAGCCACTCTGCCATGTTTGCAATGAAACCCACGATTTCCCTAGACAGGCCATGAAGTCCTGCTTCTGTATATCGTATTTCGCCGCGAAACCATCCTAAAAAATGAGCAATTCTCCAAGAACGTGATCATCCATGCAAATAAAAAGAATTTATGAATAGGGCGATGACAGAAGAGTGGTTGCAAATGCTTTGAATGAAGCAGCCGGGAGCAAACTTGCACCTACCAAACATGCTTGTCCTGGATTCATTCAGAGGCCACATCTACCCGGGTGTCAAGGAGGCAATATACAAGGCCAACACAGACCTGGTCGTCATACCGCCAGGTATGATGTTTCTGCAGCAGCCACTTGACGAAGACATGAACAAGCCCTTTAAAAACTGAGTGGCACGGAGTTATAAAGAGTGGCTCATGAAGGAGGATGCCGCAACGACTCCGATGGGACACCGCAAAAAGGCTTCCCTCAGTTAAGTTGCAACGTGGGTAATTAACGCATGGGAAGACTTGTCAGTAGAAATTATTAATACAGGTTTTAAAAAGTGCTGCATATCCAACACACTCGATGGTAGCGAGGACGACATCCTTTGGGAAGCCGCGGACGACTGCGGGGAATTCGACGACGACCTCATTCTTTGCACACCTGACAAAGATGAAGCCCTCGACAATGATTAGGGCTTAAGTTATGTAGATAAAGATGGCCTCTGTTCCAATTTTTTTTGTATTTAAAAAAAAGGGGAGGGGAGGGGGTGTCGACCTGTATTCGAATATATATTTTCTTTAATTTCTCGAAGTGGATGGCATGCACACGTTTTGCAGTGAAACTGTACATAGGCCGTTGTTACATAGGTCAGACTGGATGATGCATAATAACCGGGTGAACAGAGAAACAAAGTGAAAACTGCATCAGGTGATGGTTCTTTACAGTTTCACTGCAAAGCCTGTGCATGCCATCCACTACTAGAAGCCACTGTCATTGTTGCTGGAAGTAAATCTGAATCTGTAAGGCTGGTAGTAGAAACAGATCGCATCCTTTCTGCCAGTGACCACTGTATCACTAGGTAGTCATTGTCATTGTCCGCCAAAGAAATTGAGTATTTACGCATGCCCTGAAGTTGTTCGCCTGCAATGTATAAACTGTCATGCGTCGGTTCGGCGGATGAGACTGAAGGCTCTTTCAATTGTTCATGATTTGTAAAACGAAAAGTTGACGTCATCATCACGTGATTTTGTACGTATATATGACCCATCCTGATAATAAAATTTTTGTTGCTGAAAGTTAGCACTTGTGTTTGTCCAGTGCTTCTTTGTCCTTGCGTGTATCAGCACTATACTACAAGCCAGTTTGCTGAAACACAGCCAGAGAAACTGCTGGTGCGCTAGCTTGAAAATTACAAATGTTTTTTTTTTCTCCAATAAATACTTACCCAATTCCAAAGCTTCTTTTGCATACCAAATTGCAAAGCCATCACCATATAGGTCCTTCCCAGTGCCATGGACTTTGAAGTGCACATGCATTTCCCAGTTTTTGGATTTGCATGGCTAGAAATAGAATTCACAACAAAAATCAGAGAAAGCTTCAAAAACTTGCAATCATGTACCCAACCCTAGCATGAGAAGTTCTAAATACCATACGTATCAGCGCATCTTTGCTCTACATGCCCATATCCTGATCTTATACCTTGGCAAGAACTAAAATGATTCATGTAAAAAAGACAGGTTGTGCCAACACGCACAGTAGAGGGAAGTCAAGGCACCACACTTGAACCAATTAGGCATAGAGTTTCCTAGAGATACACTAGAGGGAACTCTGGCGCTAGTGTCTATGGGAGCTGCAACGCACAGCGCTTCAGCGAGCATGTAAATGATGGGTAGTACACAGATTTGTCTAATCTTCGTATTTCTGGCTCCGTGAGTGTTCGTGTGGCTTGGAGCTGTTTTCCCACGAAACAAAAATCAGCAAATGTTCAGCGGTCACACTTCAACAACCTTAATCTTTTAGGCTTACCATTTCAAGTTGGGTTACGAAGTTGAAACGGATTTGTTCTTTTCTTCAAAACATAACTGAAACACTGCAATAAACAAAACCACAGGTGCAATTCGCCACCCGCAAGTAGGAAGACTAGGCAAATCCCTGTACTACCTATCATTCCCATGGCCGCTGAACGATCTCAGCACCTAAGTCCCTTCTAGTTATTTTTGGGAAACTCTGTGCCATTAGGAACCAGTGTACAGTGTCAATTTTTATGAAAGAGAACACAGCGACGCGTGGCCTGCGCGCTCCAGGGGCTGCTGACATCGCATTCATGTAGGAGCGAGAGCAACCATAGTCTCTTTTCGCGTCATCTTGCGGCATGCGAAACAACCATTCGTTGCTGATATAGAATGGAAAGATTGTGACCTTTCCCCCCTAAAGCCGATTACCTGCTCTCTCGTGATCGCCTTGAAGGGGGAGGGGGTCGCAATCTTGCCCCTGGTTCCATATCAGTAACGAAGGTTGTTTTCCTCGCCGCGTGATGACACGGAAAGAAACTAATTTTTCCCGCTCCCGCTTGAACACGCTGCCAGCAGCCGCCAGAGCGCACAGGCCACGCGTTCCGATGTTCCCTTTCATAAAAATTAAGAATGTACATTTAAAAGTACAGCTACTCTTACGATTTTCAGCAAATGGGAAATAAATATTTGTTTTCACTAATTCATGATTCTGCCCCCTGTGGGTCAGCCAACATCAAAAAATCAAGAGAATGCTTATCTACTTTTGTGGGGAGCTAACGTCTTCGGTCGAAGAGCGGCAAACTTCTTTCCTGCCAACCACACAGGTAAGCGCTTCGTGAACTTTTTCTTCTAGATATAACATTTCATTACTCACAAAAGCTTCTTTTTTGGAAGTTCAAGACGGGAATAAGTAAACGCTATTAGCTGTATATGTTACAAAGGTTTTATTTTCTTCGCATTACGAAGTAGTAAACGTAGCTGTACCATGAATAGTATGCCAGGCATTCGTGTGTGCACAATGGCCCTTGCTATTTCAGGAGGCCAATATCATGGAACCGAATATACTGTTTGGGCAAGAAACCATTCTGTCAGCTCAGAGGGACATTGGTGACTGCGGAAAGTTGCACAGAACGCTGACGACAATGTGGATGTAGTCGTAATTCCTCCGGACCAATTAAAAGAAACAGACGAAGAAGGAGACGACGACTGTTTGGTTCTGCTTCAGTTATTGATACTTCAGGTGAAAAAAAAAAAAAGGGTTTCCTTTTGTAATAACGATGACTTACATACACGGTACATTCTAAATATTCAACTGAACTTAAATAGCTATACATTTTTAAAATTCTAGAGTCATAGTTGTACTCCGATATGTAGCAGGGCAGAAACATAGAGATTGAGGCAAGAGACAACATAGGTGAAGGACTCCGATTCGTTCGAAGTGGAAACTGTTAGCCATTTTATCCTGTGTAACAATGTACTTGTGCGTCGGCAAGTGTGTGGAGGTACCTTCATAATGCAGCCATTTATGCTTGCTTCGGATATTGATTGATTGATATGTGGTGCTTAACGTCCCAAAACCACTATATGATTATGAGAGACGCCGTAGTGGAGGGCTCCGGAAATTTAGACCACCTGGGGTTCTTTAACGTGCACCCAAATCTGAGCACACGGGCCTACAACATTTCCGCCTCCATCGGAAATGCAGCCGCCGCAGCCGGGATATTGCTTCGGATATTCCCGATCGTTTCTTTACACTGCCTAACTGAAGTTACTTTACATTCATTTAGTGCTGTCTTTACTTCGCTTGTGCAAAACAGGCCTTTTAGGTGTCACATTCAAAGCACTGCAAGTTTTTTATATAAAACTCCAGCATTTTTCTGGCACGTACGATAAAGGTTCACTGTTGTCAAAACGAAGAGGAAGGTGACGAGTGCGCCCCAACCATGAAGCAGCGTAAGTCTCTGCTGTTAAGTGGAAGGATATGAAACTTGAGTACATTGGAGCATATTCAATTGACAGCACAAAACAGTGCAAGGTTGAGTTGACAGCTCTTCATGCCGGTTCAAGACAAATCTAAGACAGACCTTCAGCACCATCCTTTATGATGAAATTCTCACTTTTATCATTATTGCAGACCGACAGCGGCGCAAAACCAAAAAATGAGCACAGGTTTTTCTCTCCGATTTGAATGAACTCAAGAGCTTCATTGACATTCTCATGTTCTCTGGCAACTATTAAAAACTCTACTGGTGTATGACAAAAATGAAGTGCCATACGTAGTGAAGTGCATAACCTGCAAAAGATTTCTCGCAAAAAAAATATTCTTGCACTTAGCAGACAATAACTTGATGGGAGAAACAACTGAGTATGTTTGAAATTCGTCCGTTCATGGAACTTTGGAATGAGCGATTTCGATAGATGTGTGGGTTTAAGGTCCCAAAACCACCATATGATTATGAGAGACGCCGTAGTGGATGGCTCCGGAAATTTCAACTACTTGGGGTTTTTTAACGTGCACCCAAATCTGAGCACACGGGCCTACAGCAGTTTCGCCTCCATCGAAAATGCAGCCGCCGAAGGCGGGATTCCATCCCGCATCCTGTAGGTCAGCAACCGAGTACTTTAGCCACTAGACCACCGCGGCAGGGCGAATGAGCGATTTCAGAAGCATGAGATATTTCATCAAAATCTTTCAGCAGATGAGTCTATGGTCAAATACTTTGGACATCATCCTTGCAAACAATTTATGCAAGGCAAGACGATTAGTTTCAGTTGCAAGAATTGGATGATGTGCAGTGCCGATGGTTATTGTTATGCTTTTGACACATACTGCAGAAAAGCAGCACGCACAGATAACAATCTTCTCGACTCTCGTGTAGTCCTCTCAGAGCTTGAGGCAGCTTCCAACCCCAGCGCTCACACTGTCTTTTTTGACAGTTCCCTTTACAGTCTTCTTGTTGCTCTTCGTGATAAGGGATTCAGGGCTACAGGCACTCTTTGTGAAAACTGCCATGTGAAGTGCCCTCTGCCAAGAAGAAGAAAATGGATAAAGAAAGGGGCCAATTTTGCCATTATTTCGACCCTACCAGTGAAGTCCACCTTGTAAAGAGGAAAGACAGTAGGGTAGTAACAATGGCTACCAACTATGACAGCATTGAACCCACGTGCTTAGTAAAGCGATGATCTTCTTTTGCCCATGAAAAGATGAATGTCCAACAACCAAGGTTAATTAGCACCTACAACTGCAGTATGGGATGGGTCGACCTCTTAGATCAAGCAGGTAACAATTACAGAGTTCACATTCACGCCAAGAAGTGATGGCTTACTTTGTTGACACAAATGCTCAAAATGGCCATGGTTAACGCTTTAAAAATTAACCGATTCGCTGCAAATGAGCCTGTGGACCTTCTCGTGTGTTTTTACACAATGTTGCACAATACTACCTGCACCTCAGCACAAAAATCGGAGCATCCGCAGATGACCAGGTTCGATCATGAGTGTCATTGTATACTCGATTTTCCCTACAAATTTATAAAGCAACTGCAGTGCCATTCTTGCCCCATGAGGTCAATGTGGGCATGAGGACAGTGCAATGTAACACTTTCAGTGGTGGTTCAGCCAGTTTAGAATTTCAAGCTATCTTCGGAGCAGGAAAAACTCCGTTTTAGGGTAGATTTGGGGCAGATTTGGACATTGGCCTGGTGACAACCGACTGTTTAGTTGAGAGGAGCGCCCCTGGATTATTTTTTATTTATTTATAAAGGGGGAGGGGGGAGAAGAGGACAGAGTGCACTGCCAACACCCTCCCTCCCCATATCCACTGCTCCTTAGATAAGCCGTTGCTAGGGGTCCCAGGACTGAGACAGGAAGTCATTTTAGGCTTTAGCAAATGCTCAGAAGTAACGCGACTGCATCCGTTGGCTACCCCATTTACAGTTTTGCATTGCACATTGGACTGGAAGACACCACACGGCGCAAGAGTTGGTTTGCCAACAGTAAGAAATCTTCGTGGCAGGGTGGCGCAATGTTCGCTAATGTGCGATATGTGGAACGGTGAGCCCGCCAAGCACTCTTGCAAGTGTAGTTTCGCAAATTCATATCTGCTGGTTTCCCATCACAGCAATAGGTTCACAAAAAGTCTGAATTAGATTGGGCTGCATTCTTGTCAATATGGCCAGATGACTCAGAAATTTCGATTTCCCGGAGATTTTAATGACAACCGTACAAACGTAAGAAAAGGTAAAAAAGTAAAAATCTGGGAGTCTCCCAGATTATGTAGGTATGTGAGAGGCAATCGTTCTTTATTATTGCAAAATTTTTTTATTGTGAAATTTCAAAGAAATCTTTGCACAGCCAAATATTACTTTGCAGAAAGACAACATGTAAGTGTGCAGTGCCTATGATCGTTGTCACTCCATCGCAATGGCCACATTACGGTACAATGAATTAACTCACAAAAAAAAAAAAGAGTTAAGTGCTATCATCGGTTCCCTAACAAATAAGAACTACATATTGATGGTAAGCTAAACTTTTAAACTTTCACAACAGAGACCCACACAGCAGCACAGACTTTAATTTGGGTAGGCTGAATATAAATACAAAAAATGTATCGCTGGAGAGAGCAAGCACAGGACATCAGCGACATTATGGAAAAACCAGCTGTGTTTATTCCCAGACCAAGGATATTTTTGGGCCGTAAACTTTTCGATGCCATGTGGACTAGTGAACCTTGGTGCAGTTGGTGCAAGCTGTCCCCGAATGTACGCAGCAAAATGGTGCAATAAGAACAGTTGAACCACCACTGCAGTTTGCATGAAACATGGACACTTCAATAACTTTCATGCATTCGCAGCATCAACAAAATCTTCCTTTTACTATCTAAAGGGTCCAGTGTACTATTAAAAGTGCACTGCTAAAACTGTTGACTGAAAGAATTTTCATAAAACCTCAGGAGTTCTTTCTTTTATGCCTTGACACTGTGCCTAAAATAAAGACGAATGACGGCATAGATTTTCATTGGTTCCTGTTGGGTTAGCAGCTCTGGTTGTTGGTCACAGTGTGAGTTGTCTTCACTTCTCTATCCAAAAAATAAATAATAAGAGCGCAAACATACAGCACATATATACATCCAGGGACCAAACAAGTAAACAATTATTTACTTTCTGGCAATAAGTCACCAACTGGCCCAACAACAAGTTCTTTGACTTCTCTTTAGTGTCTCGTGTTCGCATGCCCAATCTTTCTAACAAGGATACCCCCAAACTAGCTTAGCTCTTTATTAAAAAAGGAAATGATCTAATCACACTTCAAAATGAAGTAAGTATAATGATGCATCCTTAGAAAAACCTTTCCACTTAAACACAAGTTGGTTGGCTGGCAATTTTCAGGATTTCAACAGTAACCCTCAAATTATAAAATCACCTTTTACTCAAAGCTCTAGTTTGGTACCATGCCACTCCTACACTGAAAAAAAAAAGGGCTTATCATGTTAAAAGTTGCCAGAATATACTGATGACCTCTATTATCAGAGGGGAGTTTTGCTTCATTTTTCTCGAGTTCAGACAAGGTGCTACATTAAGGAAAGTTCTAGAACATAAAGGGTGGTGGTAAAACTGGGCTACAGAGCCAGAATCATTCCTCAGACTTTTATCATAGGCAAGGTTCATTATATAACATCATCAACTTGGCAAAATTTGTAGCCAAAATCCCGATCTTCATAAACTGAATGATCTGAATGATATCTAATATGTGCTGTTGAACAAAATTGCTCAGACAGACAGAAAAAGCACGTGCCACCTACCATATTGTTCCATATTGCACCCTTTGCACTCTGCTGATCAGGTGTTAGTCGAATATATGAGCCAGTCACCATCGTGTGACCTAAGAAGTCCCAATTTGGAATAGTCATACCTGCTCCTGCAAAGAAAAAACAAGAAGCAACCTTGTCATCATGCCTGCCAGCCATGATAACATAAAAATATGTGGAACATTCATGTCATCAGGGTGGGAATCCGGGAAAGCCCAAATAACTTTCAGTGATATCATCTGGTGGGCATTAGGAAGAGACATGCGACAGATTGCTATTTCAGGTTTATTGTGGCTTCAAGTACTATAAATCCCGTTGTTGTGGTTTAATGTCTAAAAGCAAGAAAGTGGCCCTAGGAAACCTTCATCAATGAAAATGTAGCGCTAGTCTCAAAGATATCAAAGTGGAATATTTACCACACAAAATGCCTACTCGTTTATATAAAGCAGCCCCCATGCAAAACATTACATTTTGATAGCCAAGTTGACGTGCTCGTAGAATTTGCAAAAGTAGTTATTTTAGCACTGAAACTACAATAAACATTGCTATTGACCCTCGCCTTTAAGAGCAATGTGTTAGGCGAGGACAGCCACAACTTTGAATGGCACTTGTACAAAACGTTTGACTACAAATTCAAGGTCAATTCATGAATTCTCAAGGCCACACAATAAGCTTTATGCATTTTATAAGTAGTTCATGAATCCTCAAATCTTTGCTGCTGTTTCATTCTCTACAGCCCCTACCTCGAACTCCTTTTCTTGGGCTGTACATCAAAAGCTGTTTGCCTAGCCTAATGGAATTATCCAATTTTTAGCTTCAACATCTTCTCAAAATCTGTCAGCAGATCTAGCATATTCTAAAGTTTGGACCTTTTTTTCTCCTAGCCTTTTAATCTGCCATACAGGGGCACTTCTCTCATGACTTCTTTTAGCTCTTCCTTCCGTCATTTTGCATTCTTCCAAATATTGCTTTGTTTGTGTCTACCTTACTTCGTTAAGAACTTCAACTATTTGATGAGTCATCAGTATGCAGTCTTTTCAGCACATGTCACCGCAAGATTACAGGCTTTCAGTACCAAAACACAATGCTCAATCAATAGTTCTTGTTGCGTTTTATTGCTTCCTTGTATTATCTAGGCAGTGATGCAACAGTGGCTATGAGGATGGGAATGGCACATGAGTGAACCAAAAATCACCCTTTCTGCCGGTTAGATCTGAGCCCATCTGTTGGTGGAATCACCACTTTCAAACTGTGTATCCGATGATTTACAAACCGAGCTACTGTAGAAGGTGCTTCCTCGTCTACTTTTTTGGGTATTTCTGTATGTGCAGTCCCTGGGAGTTTTTGTTGGCACCACTCGTAGCCGAGGAAGCGAGTGCAAAACATGATTTATTTTGGGGACTGGAGCACATCTTTATTGCGGAGGACCATGACTCAGTGAAAACTGTGCCTGTCAAATGTCTTTCCCGAAAAGAAGGTGTGGTGATCCAGGTCGTCAGTACTGCAAGAAGAATGGTGAAAGAGCGCTATCGGCTCAAACAAATGCCAATCATCTATACCCTGAACGTGCTGACCTTGGTGAAATGCTGCTGTCCTTCTGAGTGGGTTCAAAGCCAACCCCGACAAAAGATGCACTGCTAGAAGACAGCACTAACACAACCGAAACTAGACTGACCTGGGCTGTGGTAGTTTGTTTCAAATGCTGGCAAAGCCCATGGGTAGTGAAGTACTAGAGCACAACAAATCACCACCACCCACACACATACAGCAGCCAGTACCAAAGGAGAGAATTTTACGAGCCAAACCCGCCACAGGACTTGGCAGAGTATTGTGTGCCGACATCGCAGGTGCCCATGTACGCAGGCAGCCAGGCAGGTTTCGACCCCAGAACTTTGTGACTGTTTGTTATTCTCAATTAAAACCTAAGAAAAAATGTTGGCTTCAACCGAATCCATTGCTGTACCTCCCACAGAGAATTTGCATAAATGCTCCATCCAGTAGAACTTGCAAATTTTAGCAATGTAAAGCACTTCTTACATGCTTCAAATAGTTGACTTTCTTAAAAAGACAAAATTGTATCTTGTTTTAGGTCAGAGACTTGAATGTCCACGTATATTTTGTCAGGCATCCTGACAAACACAATGTTCTAGGTGGAAACAATGAACCGTTAACTCTTATTATGCATAGTATTAGTATTAGGCGACAAGACATTTACAACTAATGCGAGAACCAGCTAGCATGACAGCCTTTCTCCGGTGAACGGCAGGCGCATGGCAGTTCTTTGAACACAGCCGCGATTTTCTTATCTTTTTTAGTAACAAAGTATACTTAAATGCTTAATGTGTTTATGTTGATTATAACTAAAGGTTACTAGATCCATTACTGTTGAATTAAGCAAGGAGAAGCTGTGCTGCATGTGATCCATGTGACTTCACATATCAGTATCTAATCCTATATCAGCACTGAATAAACACAATCTATTCCTTTCCTGGCTGACTGATATGTTATTACAGCACCTATGCCAGAATTGGTCCTTAATCTTTTGAGGGATAATGGCACGAATATGTCCCACTTTTTCTTTTCACTAAAACCTTTCTTCGCCGCTTTAGGTTGCCATTGATTGATTGATTTGTGGGGTTTAACGTCTCAAAACCACCACATGATTATGAGAGACACCGTAGTGGAGGGCTCCGGAAATTTCGACCACCTGGGGTTCTTTTAACGTTTCAGGTTGCCATCAACTATCAAGAAAGTACATTTGGAACATTTCCGATGCTTGGTATCAGGGATATGTTGAGTTTGAATTTGTTTTGTTCTGTTGAATTTTTTTTAAACTGGTGTGACATTGCATGCAAGATAGCTAAAATTCTAGATTTAGGGTATTTTTCTCCTTTTCTCGATCTTGAAAGAAGTCATTTCAGCCTTTAAGTATGGATTTTCATTCAAAATTGGAACATTATATCCACCGGAAATTGTGTTCGAAATCTACTTGAATGAAAAATTAAGTGATTCCTAGCTTAGTTTAACTACATTAACACGCATGCATAACCTTTTTTAAAATTTTGATTGGCAATTTATGTTACAAAACAGAACTTTGTTACATAAAAAGCCCTTATACTTTTTTATTTACCACTAGAGAGGAGTGGAAATGAAACCAAAAGCTATGGCTAGGTTGCAGTTTTTTAAGTTGGGGGATATAGGTAAAAAATAAAAAAATTTACCTTTTAGATGGCCAGGAAGCGAAATAGAACAAGAACATGCAAGATCTATAACCTCAGGCTTGAATAGAGTGCACAAATCTGATACAGCATGCACTTACAGGGCTCAATGTATTTAGTGTCTTGTCGTGATTCAAGAGCACAATTTTATATATGGGCAGAAATTTAAGCATAACTGAGGTGTTTGTCCTTATCTAAACCAAGCAAAGAGACTGACAGAGAAAAGCTAAAATGCCTCGTGTATGCAATGAGCTTGGACAGAGCCACGGGGTTCCCCATGGCAGGCAGAGGTGCAGATTGTGTACCACATTAAGAAATAAGGACCACCACAAATTTTCTTTGCACAGTATTCTATGTGTCCCTTTTTACTGCTAGCATCAAGCCTATTCATGCAAGAAATTTGACAAAGGGATTACAGCTTAGTACCCTCATGAGGCAATGGGATAGATGGTGTCCCACTTTTTCGAAAACGCTTCATGGGTCAGTGGGACACACAGGTCTCACTTTTCTCTTGTAAGCTATAGTGATACTTTGCTGCAACTTGCTGGATACTATTTCTAAGCATGCTAATATTTAGATATTCTGTGGGTATAAGCTCTGTTATGAGAAAACTATTGATGAACCCACAAAGAAATAAACTATTTCAGCATACTGCACATAATGGATTTCTTTTTGGGACTAAATAATGCATTATCTGGCATTTTGATAAGTACAAGTAAATGCAGGGGCTTTATTTCACGACAATCACCTTTGGAATTATTGTCAAAGTCTCGTTTTAAATACGCACCGATTGGGTGGCTCAGAAAAGGCAGCTGAGTAGATGCCTCAGTCGTTGGACGAAAGAGATTCTATTTCAACCAAAGCAACTCTCACTGAAAGTGATCATCTCATAACATGGCCACCGAAAATGTCACCAAATGCCGAAGTGGTATTATCTTCACAGAACAATGCCGCTGCCACTAATACATGGGTAAGCGCACTACACGTGCACATGGGCAAAAGCAGGATAAAAGCAGATTGTGTGGGATATATTTGCAAAGCATGATTTTTGCTATAACAAAGCACCACAGAAAAACTCATAAGCACTAAAATACAAAATGCCATTTGAACCAGTTGCCCTGTCATTTATTACTTATATATATATATATATATATATATATATATATATATAAACCCAAATGTTTAGATTCAATTGTGTCATTGTGATGATAACACAATTACTTATCCATCACAGTACCGTATTCACACACAAATTTCACACATGCTCGCTCAACATCGACTCAGAAGGGTGAAACCGCAACGCCGCAATTGCGCAAAATGCGTTCACAAATGTCGCGCATCTTAAAAAAAAAAAAAAAAACCCTCTAGGGAGGGACAAGTGCGTTTTCAAACTGCAGGTTCGAAGGGACGCTCTACGCAATTTACAGTAAATGATAGGGAAACCTTCGCTAATGGAAACATTTTGTAGCCGACGGACGCCGCAGCTCGCTACTAAAGCAGGTGTTCAGCGCGCAAAAGTCGCACACGCTGACGTGTGTACTTACAAACGCTGACAACACGTATCACACGGCACTGCTAAATGTATCACGGCCACAGACGCCACGCAGCGCCCGCTGCCGTGCACCACTACTTACGACGAATACGCACAAGGAAGCACTGCGAGAAACGTCGCGTTAAGCACAGCAATGTGATTTCCCCGTAGTTTACAAGGGGCAGCAACCATTTTCCTATTCGCGACTTCTGTAATTTTGTGTGAAAAGTGAACGGATAAAATCGGCAGAAAATAAAATAGTGACTTGCACTTAGAGAAGGAGAACTCAAAACGTTATTCATACAGCCAGCATACGACGTAATTCCATACATACAACTTTCCACGTAAAATACCGGCGAAGCGTTCGCGCTAGGAACGCGTAACACCACTCGGCTTAGCCTGCGACGTTTCCTTAAACGTCACGGTTGTTTGAAGGCCGTTAAGTGGAAGAAATAACTGCTACGGTCTTCATTTTCGGCGCACATGTTCCACTTAACACCAAGATTTTTGTGAAAATTGAAGGGTTTTAAGCACATTCAGCTCCGCCCCAATGTCATTGACCGGTGATCGCGAAACGAAGATTTTAAGAGTAAGTCACTCAGCTCTGCGATCGCACGGCAACGTTCGCAAATTCCAACAGAAAAACGTTATATTTACGAGTCAACGATTAGTAGGGCTGATGCTTCCAAAGCAACTCCAACGCACGGGTAAGAAAAAAAAAAAAAAAGATAACTTGTGATTCTGCAACACCGCCAACTGCGTAGGAACATTCAGTGCTTGGGAATGCATACCTTGATAAGGTTTTACCAGTGAATGCTCTTTCTTCATGTAGTCTTTTGTGTTCCATTCCGCCACTGCAAATAAATTCTCTTTGACTTGAAATATTACCGCAAAGAGGAATAAGCACAGCACCCGCCACATTATCTCGAGAGGTGCCATGATGATGAACTCCGCAAAGCTTCGACTCGACTTGGCACTCGACAGCGACTACCGCTCTCTCCCACTGGTGCCAAATGAATTGTGCCAAAAAAATGCGTATATGTGCACATAACTCTTTTTTTCTGTTTGTAATGCCACATAGCGTTTTTTTAAGGGTCACATGACAGCAAGTGTTTTTTTTATTTAGCTTTCGGCCAAGTCATGCTTGGCCGCTGGTTTTAGCAGAACACTTACAACAGCATAAGATGGCATAAGTGCTTACCTGGTAATGGAGTGAGAAGTGGCAGATAACGGTTTTCTCTGCCTAATATTTGGACAAACTTGATTGATACTTTCATGTGAGAACTTGTGCCTAAGTAGGAGTAATTAGGTAACGTACCTGTCAATCATCATCCCCCAGTTTATTTACCTGCGCCTGTGCTGCTGTCATTTGTTGAGCCCGATAATGAAATTGTTTTTTTTTTTGGGGGGGGGGGGGGGCGTAAGTGTATTCGTTTCTTCTCGCGGTAATATTAAACTACAGCCGAGGACTGCCCAGACAGTGAACAGCTGCGCTCAACATATCTGCGCGGCGCACTTGTTTTCTTGCATGCCAGTGCTGTTCTTTCTTTTGTGACTGTCGCAGCGCTTTCTGACGTGCATATCGCTCTCCGCCGTGCTAACGTCGAGTCTGTATGGGTCAGTTTCGGTCAAGAATTTGTCGTTTTCGTGTGTTCCTAGACGAGAAAAGACGAACATGTAAGCTTTCTCTTAACAGTGTTCGCACGTAGAAATGTCTGTCGCGCCGAGAATGGAGGGGCAGTAGACGACTAAGGCAGTGTAACTCTTTCTTAATGTTCAGGCACGCATCACTCGCCGCTATGCGTTGTTTTGTGGAGATACATAATCGGAAAACCGAGCAGCTGTGCAATGCTCTTAAACTCGGAAGAAGTGCAGTTGCTATGAGCAACAGAAGCCCTCTTACAACCTGGGTGATATACATCTCGGTGATAGTGCATTCACTTAGCACGCACACACTCACACACACACACACACACACACACACAAAACTGATGGAGTAGCATGCACCGCCTGATTCAAGCCCTTCGTTCCCGACCTCGCACTGCCAATTTAACCAAACAGTCACGTCCTTGCTCATAGAACAGAGTTTCTAAGTATAATGTTTACTTCCACAACTGTATGAGGTAGCCTGACTGAAACAGTTCCTCTAGTGTAGTGTTTATTTGTTCTGATAGTTTGCATGCCATTGTGAATTATCAGAGATGGTTGAATGTCCACAGATAATATTGTGTATTCATTGTGCATGATGCAGTGTGGGGTCACATCGTTAAGGTAGAATGATATGTGAGGGAGAGCAGCTTGTTTAATGTTTATTCTGAAAGTGTTTGATACCTGTGTGCATATATTTAGGTGCACATTAAAGGACCCAAGGGTGAGCATGTCATTAAGGTAAATTAATGTTTATTCAGTACTTTGCTACGAAATCACTGTATAGTTGATTCTAAGTGTAATGTTAGCTTTAGCAATGATTATTGCTGGGGTTTATGTGCCAAAACCACTACATGGTGGTGAAGTATACCATAGTGGTATACTTCACAACCATGTACACAATATGGATAAACCATGTACACAATATGGATAAATTTTGACCGCCCATTTTTTTTAAGGTGGACCTAGGTTGAAGTACTAGAGTGTTCTTACATTTTGCCTCTATTGAAATGTGGCTGTTGTGGCCAGAAGTTGAGGATGCGTCCTTGAATGTGACACTATTGGCTAAGCTACCACAACAGAGAAAAATGGTAACTTTCACTTCAACACAACGCCCAAACTAATTTTTGTTTGCTAACTGATCTCAACTGTTAATTTTGCCCCCCTATTTAGCTCAGTGACTGTGGTGTTCAACCACAAAACACTTTGTTGCAGGCTCAGTTGGGCCTGTTAAAGTCAAGAAAACTCCAATCAAATTTTTGTGCATGTCTGAAAGAAAAAAAGAAATTGATAGCTTGGGTATTTCTTACCCATGTTAAATCATATCAGCTACACAACTATGTATGATTATAGTGGCCGTTTGAAACCATGGGCAATAGAAGCAGTCGTCTCAATTTTTCACAGAATGGACTGTGATGTCATCAGTGCTTAATTGCTATTACCAGTTGCATGATGTTGCAAAAGATGCAGTGGTACAGTCTTTGTGGGTTTCATAACTTCTACTGAGCTCAAATATTTCAGTAGGAATGTGCAATTACGTTGCCATGTGTAACAATTTCTTATAGGGCTCAGTATGAGCTACAACGTGGGAGTGCACCCGCAGGTCGCGGGATCGAATCCCGGCTGCGGCGGCTGCATTTCCGATGGCGGCGGAAATGTTGTCGGCCCGTGTGCTCAGATTTGGGTGCACGTTAAAGAACCTCAGGTGGTCGAAATTTCCGGAGCCCTCCGCTACGGCGTTTCTCATAATCATGTGGTGGTTTTGGGACGTTAAACCTCACTTATCAATCAATCAATCAACCGTGGGAGTGCGTGGCTAAGTGCACTGTACGGCTATATGGTCACCTCCACTTGCTTTAATGCTCACTTTCGCTTTTCTATCTTGAGATGTCAGCGTCGAAAAAGATAACTGCTACCGTGGCTTGATGCCCAAACTTTGATTTTTCCTTCAGTAAAGTGTAAATTCATAGCAAAAAGTTTTCAAATAAAGGAGAGCGAGAGTGAAGCCAAGCAATTGGCTTCACTCTCGTGATGTGATGATGTGGCGCGTGCTCACAGGAACAGTCATACTCTCACCCCATAACTTGAATATGTGCCACATTTGGCGTCGCTGTACAACCTTGCTGTGCACTAGGCCATGTGCTCATGTGGTCTAGCTCAAACTGTGATGATACACTGCACTGTGTCAGTCAAATATTGCCTTAGAGAAGTGCTCACTTAAGGTTTTTAAGTTTATAGTTTGGTTTTTGTTTCCTGTTGTTTTCATTGTGTCCAAGTGAACAATGCTAATGGACCCATTTACTCATCCGTCAGGTACGTTGAATTCGGTTTCGGGTATTCACTTGCGGTGTACCCAACCAAGTCATTGTAAGTGCTGAGAGTTGTCCGTTGATAATTAAATTAAAGCACAGGTATGCAATTTGCAGCTACTGAGTAGCAGTGAATTTCATTAATGAGGACCAAAATGGAATGACCCAAAGAAACACGCCACATGAGATTGAAGTGCGGGGTGGCAGCTTCTGCTAATTGTTTTTGTACTCATTGTTTGTACTGATTGTTTTGTACTTGCTAGTGGGATTTTTCGGCCTAAAATACTTTTTTCCCAAGGACATTGTTCACTTCCACTCATGCAAAAAAGACCCGGACACTTGATTAGAGAGGTGCTTTCCTAGTGAAAATTTGATGAAACTGCTGTGGTGTTTAGCTCAGTTGCTTTTCTCGCATGTGACTGAATTCTCACCATTCCTCTCATTTTAGGATGGGTCGCAAGGATGCTGCTGTTTCATATGACAATGGAAAGAAGCACTTCAGCAATGTTAAATACCAGCGCATACAGCGGACTGATGATGGCTTCGTAGATATTCAGGTCTGCCTATGCATGCGGGTATTGTTCAAAGCTCTCTTACTCAGATCTGAAAAAAATAGTTTCAGAAAACTCTCTCAAGGGTTCCCAAAAAGGCCATTGCACTTGCAACTTGCCTGTTCATCGGTGGATCTGCGCTGATTGTCTTGGCATCATTCATTTTTGCTGGATTTTTTGACCCAAAAGTAAGTAACATGGAGTGAGTGCTATGTCGGCACAGGTGATGCTTACAGTTAGAAAGGGCCAGAGTTTTGCTTTTCAGTTGAAGTAACTACTACTCTGTTTGAGACAGGATGGTGTATAGCAAAATTTGGCAAAATTCGCTGTAGCTCATTTTAGTTAAGAATTAACAAGAAACATTTTTTTCTGCATTTCACATTATTTATTTTATTTATTGTTTTACGTTTTCGTCAAGTGTTGGTATGTATTATTATTAAATTGTCAAATATTCATTCCTCTTTTTTTTATTGCTCTAAAAAGGTAACAATTAGGTTGCCATGAGAAAAGTACCGACATGATTAGGAACACCTGCGAATGATTCTGCAGAACGAGAGCCATGGTTGTCACACTTACTAAGTGCTTTTTCTTATAGAATGTAAAAAAAAGTGATAGCCTGTGTTACATAATTTCTAATTAAGTGTGATGCCTATTAGAAAAGTTTTCTTGACTTAGGCAAAGCATTTTGTGAATGTGGTAGTGTGTTGTGCTTGATTCATTAATGTAAATTTTGTGGTGTACCAGATGACAGAAAACATGTTCTCAGTTGCTCATTATTTTACATATATGTGTCAAATGTAAATACACCTCTTTCCTTTTCAACACACATGAAAAAACCTTGTGCCAGCTTTTTATTTCCCTTTGTTTGCTATTGAGAAAATATTCTGTTTGATTCAGGGCTAGGTTATTTTGCTGGAACATTATTTATTAAGTTCTGCTGTTCAGTGGTGTCAATGTTTTTTTTTTCTAGAAGCATCTTTTATTTTCAACACCTGTCACCTGGTTTTGTGCAATAAGTTATAAAGGCTCTCCGCATTTCTTTTTTTTTCATTGTTGTGTGTTGTTAAACTTTTTGTTTTATTGCCAAAATTCCTCAAGTTATAAAAGAGGTCAAATCTCAAAGTACGTCAGTGTAGTGTAACAATTATTTTTGTCCCTGCTTGATGCTGGTAATTACATAAGTGGACTGCAGTTCAGGCGTCAGGCCAATGACAAAGCATAAGAGGTATAAATAGAAGGCTGCAGTATTCTGCCCCAGGATGGTAAAACCATGTTGTAGAAAGAGCTGGGAGTGTGTGTTCCTGGTGCTTTCCTCCTTCCAAAAAAGGCATTTGGCTTGCAGATAGTGAGACCTCTCTTTCGCTGTCCATCTAGGCGAGCAACCTTTTCAGGCACCGGACCAAAAACCGGAAAAAGGGGGTGTTGATGCCAAAGAGAAGAAAAATTGGGGTGTTGGCAATACTGGAGAAAATCGGAACTGAAATCATGCTTATTTTGTGCACACATGTCACAATGTTGCAATTTACAAACAGGTTACTAACGCAGGTCAGAAATGTCAAGTCGGTCTTCAGATAGGAAGGGTGAATAGAAAGGGATGGGTTCTGAGATGGCGCTGCATAATACTGCCTCGTGGGCCGCAGGTGGCCTACCCCTGATTTAGGCGATTTAAACAAAGTTGGAAACAAGTGCAGCCCTTTTATTACCACCCAATGATAACCTTTCCAAGGACCCTCAGTCACATTTTTCATGCATGAGCTTGCAACCACACACCTGTGAATTCCCTAATCTTGTGATATCTCTGAAGCCTTTAATTTTTTTTTTAACTGAAGTTTCCTTTCTTAACACCCCATTATGTTTCTGTAACTTTACTTTTTGTTCATGTCATCTTGACAGTGAGCAGTTTGCTTTGGCTCTCCTATCCCCGCTATCATCTTTCTGTCTCATAACACATCTGCTTGTTCCTTTCATTGCTGCCCCGCCGCGGTGGTCTAGTGGCTAAGGTACTCGGCTGCTGACCCGCACGGCGCGGGTTCGAATCCCGGCTGCGGCGGCTGCATTTCCGATGGAGGCGGAAATGTTGTAGGCCCGTGTGCTCAGATTTGGGTGCACGTTGAAGAACCCCAGGTGGTCAAAATTTCCGGAGCCCTCCACTACGGCGTCTCTCATAATCATATCGTGGTTTTGGGACGTTAAACCCCACAAATCAATCAATCCTTTCATTGCTATTTGGATGGTTCGTAGCTTCCTCTCAGGTTTGACAACCTCCGAATTTCAGTCCCAGTAGGTTGGTACTTGTAGATTGCCACTGTTATATCTGCTGCATAGATTATAGTGAATCTACTCACCGGTTCCTCAAGCTGTTAAGCAATGTCACAGCAGGGATCTTTGCATGCACAGCTTTTGCTGTTTAATCTGTACTGTGGCTCACTGGTTCTAGCTGACTGAGAACAAAGTGCTGGATTTGATTTCAGGCTGTACAAACCATATTCTGACTGAGGCTATATTCTAACTTCTTCATATGTCACCAACCTAATGGTACATATTAAAAGAGTTGACTGTTTTGTTTTGACATGGGAACTATTGTGAGTTGCACAACTAAAGAGGACACATGAGAAGGAATAGACGCGAACAGAATGAGAAGTGCGCCTCTTCTCATCTATATCTTCTCGTGTGTCCTGTTTAGTTGCACAAATCACGATGGTTTTTATCTCTTGGCGCATGTTAAAGGGGTGCTGAAACACTTTTTTTAAGTAACCATATAATGAACTCTCTGTAAAGGCTTATTGCCTCACGAATTAACAGCCCAAACATATTAAAAATTCGTCCAGTGCGAGTGGAGTTACAAAGATTCATCGCATGCTGCGATTGCATTCTCTCTTCTCTCGTCCCAACGAAAGCGCTGGAAGCTAAGCTGGGAGCAACGGCAGGCGCAAAGAAAAACGTTGCGTACCCTTCGTGACCTTGAGCATTTTAAAAAAATTTTTTTTACTTCGAATGCGCAGCTTTTTCAGTGTGATTACGCGCGCATGCGTGAACAAGTCGCAGCCTCCCACGGCGATCTCTGTAACGACCGAGCACGCCATGTTCAACTAAGCCAATGGCTGATAATAAGCCAAGGGCTTACTACGAGTGATTTTTGTGCTTATTCTGTGATTTGTCGAGAAAAGAGAAAGCAACTTTTAGCTGACTTTGATAATTTATTGTGAATTCCAGGCCGCGTGCTGTGCTATAATATTTGGCTCGCGTGTTGTCGTGAGCCTCTACTACCGATCGGCAGCGTTTTCTGACCATGCTCAAAAGTGTTGCAAGGATTCTTTAATGTACTTCATCTTAAAATTAACTTAAAATTAACCGGAAGCTCTCTGCTATGGTATCTCTTATAGTAATTGCACTATGTAGGGTCCGAAATGCTATTACTCAGTCACATGCACTTCCTTGACTTGCAAGTGACGCCATCATACTTTTTCTGGTGCCCTTGCAATGCGACTATGGCGAGAAAATAGATGCTGCTAGGGTACACTTCTGAAGGCTAAGAGGCTGCAATTTTTCTTCCCTGCTGTGTTAACTGTAGAGGACGACGATCTGGCACCCTAGATTGCAATGGCATAGCCAGGAATCATAAAAGAGTTGCATGCAGCAGTGTTTTGCACATTTACTGCATCGTACAAATTACCTACTGAACGCACAATAGGTCACAGCATTTGCAGTGCACATCTGCCCTCATCAACAAACTTTTATTAGCCTGGCATTTACATTAGCAGATTGAAAAAACTTAAAGGGGCCCTGCAACAGGTTCCCTAGTAACTATCGAATGGCTTCATATGAAGAGTTTATTGCTTCCTTGAATTCGCGACCTCAAAAATATTTAGAATCCATCAAGTACAAGCAGAGTTAGAGATTAGTCGTGCACTGCGGTTGCTTTCACTCTTCTCTCGTCCCCCCACGAGCATGCTGGAAGCTAAGCAGGAAGGAATGTAATGGGTGAGAGAAGTTATGTTACATGTGTACATCATGACATTGAGCACTTTTTCTTCTTTCGTTTCTTTCTTAAATCCACGTTTCAGTTTCAATGTGATCGCGAGCAAGCGCGTGAGCACTTGCGGCCTTACAGGGGTAATGGTGCAGTACACAAGATGCTCAAATCAGCCAATGGCCCAGAATTTTGGTATATGGCACAGTCATTTGGGTATGTGGCATCATTTGTAGAAAAAAAAAAGAATGATTTCTAGCTGACTTTGAGAATTCATTGTAAATTTCAGGCCACATGCTGCACTGTAATGCTTGGCTCGCTGTAATGTTTGTTCTCAGGAGCCTTGACTACTAATAGAAACATTTTCTGGCCATGCAGAAAAATTGCTGCAGGGCCCCTTGCGCTAGACTTCAGCTGGCATGGCCTTACTGCGGAGGTGGAGTGGGCGTACACTGTTGTTTTATGTCTAGAGCTTGTACTGAATTCTTAGGTTGTCACTGAGTTGCTCAGTACAGTCTTGTATGGAGGCATGAAAACAAAAGATTATTTGCGGCATGGCATTTATTTTTACATACATTTCAAATAAAAATAATAATGAGAAATGATTAGTCTTTTATTGCAAGCATATTTAATACCACTTGAGTTCATTGCACATTGTTTCTGCATGTTTCCTTTTCAGTATGATGACAGCAGCTGGCCAGTTCTTGTTCTGGGAGCCCTTATGTTCATCCCTGGTGCTTATCATGTACGCATTGCATACTATGCATATAAGAAGTATCCAGGCTATACATTTGATGACATCCCAGATTTTGATTAGGTCCACTGTTGTTGTTAGCACTGGACCAAAAATATTGCGTTCCTTGTCATGACACTGGAATCGCATGGTCATTCAGTATGCTATGTCTCAGTGGCAAGATGCAGGTTTCGGGACCTTGCAGACATTATGTACAGTTCTTAAAGTTGTTGAATCATGAAATGAGGATATGTGTGATAAGGAAGAAGGTGACCTATCATGGCTTCTGGCACAGGAAATGTTGGTGAATATAACCTTATTGTAAACACAGTAAACATTGCTGTACTATACTGTTCATAAAATTTTCACAAACAAGCAGTGCAGCACAGGACTAAGCAAGCTTGCTTTCCCTTACTTTCTTTAGCACAGCTGATCATCATTTTGGTGTTATGTCATTTGATGCAGACTGTATTAGTCATCAGAGGGTCAAGAGCTTGTCTGGCTTTTTAACCTTTAGTCTTTTGCACCTGTAGGAAAATTTTGTATAGTTTCTGTGAAAATAAACAGCTTTTTCAGCTTTTTGTGATTAGTCATTGCTTCCCACCATAAAATTTTGTATTCATTCTGCAAAAATATTGTTCAATCGATACACCAAAATAGTTAAAAGTATTAAAATTTTTTTTTTTACTGCAAGGATCGTAGCTGCTTGGTTGAGGTATTTGTTTACATTAGAGTATATTTCACTATGATCAATATTTTAACCTAATCTGCTGGCTGAATTATTGGAGTACTCACTGTATTGCATCACTAATTACTGTTCCCCACTTGGAATTTTGATAACATACGGGGTGCTGCCCTTTGTACAATCTAGAATGTCAATTTAGTGCATATATCATTGAATGATGTATATTGCTGGGCTAATCCGTGCATGCTTGTTTACCAGAAATCTAGTTTGCTTGTGTATGTTGCTTCTATCATGACTCCTCTATTGCTGTGTGACATGTATGATAATTATGGAATAAGCAACTTCAGTGGAAAATATTCCATCACTAATCTAAACCAGAAAGGTGCTGGGTATGATCAGAAGTAATTTTGCTCAAGTTATGGGGGAACTTATGGGACTTCTTCTGTAGCTTCATGTTGCTTTTGTTTTTCTTTTTACATTGTTTGTGTGACACTTTCTTAAGTTTAAACATTATAGAATGTTGGCCACATAGGCCTTGCTAGTGCCTTTGTGTTGCCTCGGTGTGCCCTCATGTTATTATGGATTACATGTTAAATGTAGCTTAATTTATTTTACAGTTTTAAGGGCTGCACTATTGGGCCAAATATTTTTTTTCTGCAGAATTTGATGCTAAAAATTTGTCGTTACTTGTCAGACCCATCATACATTCATGGAGTACCACTTCACCGAGTATATTATCATAATATTACACCCTGTGCTTTCTGATGTTTGCCTCCTACTGTTCACAAGCTTCCCCCATCATAATCATCCCGCATCAGTACTCAACATATGGACAGGTTGCACGACTCTTTTGACACTTTTCGTATTAAAAAACTAGCTTACATTGGAAAGGAACTGAGGGTGCATCACTACCAAGCAGCTACTCAGGCCTTGCTGCAAAATGCCATGTATTTGGATCGGCTGTTGTAAGCAAGTGCAGTTGAAAGTCGACATCTTGTGGATCCACAGTAGCAGTACACAATAAAACTGTTCCTCTTTTTTTCTTTTCTTGCTGATATGGCTCTTAATGAAATGAAAGCAGTGGCTTTGGTTTCGCAGATGTGAAGCATCAGTCTGTGTGTGCACTGCCACTTCTGGCATGGGTCAGCGCATTTCACTGGTTGAGGAAGTCGATGTCAGCTCGGACGCATTTCTGTGTAGCAACATCCAGGGCACTGACCTTGATCTCAGTCTCACCAAACACCATACGTGCCTGTATTTCGCGCCGCCGCAGTGGTGTGTGTCTTGTGTCTGACAAATCGAGCACAAGGGTGCCACAACGAACAACGCCTGGATCGGTGATGAAGCGCACATCATCACGTTCACTGCAGTAGACGTGAATAATGGAACGTGTCTGTCCACTCTTTGCGGGCGTGTAACTGCGTACCACAGCGTCACCTTGTCCCACGGACTGGTCGGCCAAAACGAAGGCATCGAACACATCAGCGCACCACTCGATGCCATCCTTGACGACCAGCTTGGATGGGGGGTGGACACCATGCACAAAGCGGTTTAGCACACCTACACCATAGGTCAGCCGCGACCGGCGCACATTGACCACCATTGGGTCCAAGCCAAAGAGCACCGCACCTCGCAAGATGGCCAGGCTGACGCCCTGTAGTAGAGAAAGATGCTGCAGTCATGATTAAGCTCAAAAAGGCAATGCAACGAAGCATTCCTGATATTGTTCAAGTGAAGACATTTATGCAACTTGAGCTTGTGTGGTTAGTGCTTCAGGCAGAAATAGTTCTGTCTGGAGCACTCCTGAATCGTCACCAGCCATATGGGAGCGTGTTAGTATGAATTGCCTTGCGTGATAAAAATAAAAATAATATGGGGACGGGGTGCGGATCGGGAATAACTTGTGCACTCTAACTGAAATGACAATGTAGCATCATCCAAAGTGTTGTTAACAAAGCCGCAGGAAATTGATGCCCATTCTTAACTGAAGACTGCAGGATATGTCTTCTATAACTGTTCATAACCTTGCAAGATTTCAGGCACTTTCTTCATCTATATTCTCTTTCCATCAGCCTCAGTGTACATATCTGGGTAATGCTTGGAGTGCCTCCCTGCTATGTTTCTCCATTGAAGCTGACTTCAGTGCAGAAATGAAAGATGGCATTTTGGTGTAACTTTAGAGGACTGGGTGCATAGTTTAAGAAAATACTCGTGGCTCAAAAGACCAAAAAAAATGAGAAAAGACATAATAGTGGGTTATTTATGGATGCAGTGAATGTTTTGACGTTTTCAAAAAGTAATGCTAGACTAAAGACCATTATTTAGTGGGACTACTGTTCAGCCAATAAATCAGCATTTATTTTTCACCAAAACTTATACATTGGCAAAAAATGGAAAGACAGAAAAAAAGCTGCAGTTTTTTAAGCTTGACTAAGCACGAACTACCCTGTGGCAGCAAAGACAGGGTGATAAAATGAAGTACAGGCATGCTAAAATAAATACATAAACATGCAAATGCCCAAAAAACAAATATAGCAAGTAAAATACAAGCAAAACGCAAAGGAAATGACAGGGCCAAATTTACATATTGAAAAAAAGGGGGATATTAAATATGTACATGAACACATTTAATCATAGAGCGTATATCATCGCTTGAACACATATCTGGGTTGCGTAAAAAAACACTGACGAAGGAAACTACACAGAACGTCCTGTGTGCTCTCCATGTTTTTTTTTTTCTGCTACCCAAATATGTGTTCACGAATGCACCAAGTAGCTCAAACAAAAGCTTTACTTATCGCTTTTGTTCATAAGATAAAAATAAACACAATGACAGTGTAATTCTACATTTCATGAGAAATGCCAATAACCAACACAATGTGAATAATGAAAACAATGCACACTTACAAAAATAATATTATTACATCAGTAGTGTTAAATGTACCAATATAAATTTAATATAAATGGTAACGTGGGGGTCAAGTCATTGCCTGCCTTAAATGGCATTTTTGAGACAAAATAAAGACATCAAAATTACATGTACAAGTGCATATCCTAATGATCTAGCTTCTTGTTATGAATCCTACAGGCTAGCTTCTTGCTTGCCACTAGTTCAGATATGCAGTCGCAGTAAATTTTGACTATAACATAATGCAATATGCGATGGCTTTTACACATTCCAGATTAAAAGTGACCAATTACACTTACTCCGGTAAAACTTATAACCGATTATGGTTATTACCTCCTCACAAAAGTAATTCATTAATTACTTGAAGTTATTGAATTAAATTTGCTACTTTTCATTCAGTTTTACATGCCAGGCATTTCTTTGCCAGACACACATTTGATAAAATGTATTGAAAAAGCTCAGTTAGCTCGTTCGTTTGGGGATGGCAACTGGAGGTTGTTTTGTGGGTGCCACATTGAGCACTCAATGAGTTGTGAAAGGAATGACTTTCCATGGTCGCTTAAAATGACACAGAGTATCATGACAAGGGATTGGGGCTTGGAGTGTCTTGTCGGCAACTGCAGAGGCTGAGGCAGAAGTGAAAGCTGTTTCGGTAGCACGTCAGATGGTCGGTGGCTGTAACTGTCCAGCAATTACCGGTGAGATTTATAAGAAAGGGAGAATACTCATTGATGCTAATGACCTCTAGTGGTTCTAGCAGACATGGGAGTGGTTGCAGCTGTGCCTAGGGAGCTCAGAACGCTTACAAAAGGCACGGGGGCAATGTACTTAGCTGTTAAGGTGTATTTTATATATCGACAATTCAGGTTTTAATTTAAAATGCTATAGCAGTTGAGCCCCTGTTGTCTACGCAAACGAAATATACATCTAGGCGGAAAAGTTTTGCCGCATATCAAGTTACATTCGAACACTTAACGAAAGCTCGTTCATTAACTTTAAATTGTTAACTTAAAGCGGCCATGCCATAGTCACTCTACAATTTACGGCTTTCAGCGCAATGAATTTCAAGGCCCAGATCGTGTTCGACCCAAGATCGGGCAGCTAGTGTGAATATGTGGTCGGTGGCGTGCATATGAATGTATGCCGTAGCGCTTTTATTGCGTTACCAATAAATGGACACTCTCCGCTGGATTTAGCCACCGGCGTCGACATCGCCGTCACTTACTGTATATGTATACTTATCTATATATATATTAACCAAACGAAGAAAAATAATCGAGAAAAAGACCGGCACGTGGAATCAGATGTAGGAACTCTGAATAGTGAATTCGGAGGCACTAATCGCCAAGCAGCACCTCCTTGAACATTGAAATGGCAAGATATTTATATCTCCCACTTACCGCTGTTGACGAGCACATCGGGCGAACTAGCGTGTTTTCAGCATTATTAGCAAGGTGGCGCAATGAGTGTGCATCGCCAGATCGTCGCGACGCGGCGGTGCGCGCTCTAATCTCCCACGTGCACTTTGCCTCGTAGAGAGGAGGGGGGTGGACGCTCTCTCGCTCGTGGTGGGGAGGATCGTATGTCTTGGCTGGCGTTGGGCTTTCAGTGGAACAATTATGTTGTAGTTACCGGGCGCACAAAGGTCAGTGCAATCGTGGCACAGTCTCCGTTTTCGAAAGGGAATGCATTTCAGACACAGCGGATGACTGAGACGCTTATTCGCGTTCATCTGTTTCTATGAGTAGGTTTCGTGCGTCATTTGTGCGTGAGAAATGCGGGGCATGTTTCGATCTGCTTGCCATTCTGTGCGTGACCTTCCAATTTGTTGCTATCGCGTTCGTTGTTTCGCTTTTGCGGCAAAGCTGTGACGTTTTAGATGCGAAGCCGCTCTTTGACTCAAGTGTGTAACGTGTTACGTACGTTCGTCTGTATGTACGCACCTCAGTGCGTTCCCCTCGCCGCAGGTGTTGGAGCTGTGTCAAGTAGGTCACGCCTCAGCAGTTCGTCGACGTCACGCTTCCCTCGCACGCCTTCCTCGCAGGTTTGCGCTGACGTCTCTCTCTCCCTCACCCGCAGCACGCTCGCTGCTGCACCCGCTCGCAACACCCTTCTATCTTGCTTCACCCTCTCCACCCAGGCACTGCGCCGTGCTCCCGACCGGGTTGCAGAAATTAGGTGCCTTTTCTCATCTTCTAACCACCACCACCCTCTCCACAGCCCGAAACGCTCGACCACTCGTCGCGAAAACATTCTTTCGGCTCTTTTATCTGCGATAAAACTTACACAAAACCCAAGCCGCCTCTTGTGTCTTTGCGTTTGAAACAAACTTTTACTCGAGTAAACTACGCACCGAGTTTCGCTTCAAACCGTATTTCAGCACCCACGTTGACGGCCGTTTCAAGCGGGTCAACGTCGTGCGCACCGCTACTGCTTCACATACCATCAGGATTTCCTTTGGGGAAATGGTCCATAATTTTCTGAGCGGTAGGAGCCGATTGTTGGCGTATGAAATGCGTTGACTGTTGCCTACTCGTAATATAAAGGCCGTCCATTTAAGATAGGATGCACGAAGCTCGCCGATCAGTTCTGTTATGAGAGAAACGCAATCTATTATTGTAAGGGATGTCCGCGTCTGGTGCCTGTCTACGCTTTCGCACTATGTCACGTTTCTTGTATTTTACTCTATATAAGTGTTGAGCATGTGTGCCTTTACTACGCACTGCTGTAGTACGACATAAGTAATTCTTATATAATATGCTGGTCTTGGATACTACAAAAAGAGAAAGGAAGAAATCTCGTATTCTTGGGTGATGAACTCAAATAACTGCTCATGCGCATCTGCATTTTTCTTATTCAGTTCTCCATAAAGTAAACGTAGATAAATAGACGGATGGATGGAAAACTTTATTAATTGTCCGGCACATTAATGATTCGGGCTAAGGCCTCCCATGTCGGGACGTCAAAGCCTGCCCTCTCCGTCGCTTCACGAGCCTGCTGGACTGCCCAGAGTTAGTCGGCGAGCTTGGAGCTCTGCAGAGCAGCTTCCCTTCTTGCCAAAAAAAAACAACATAGAGATTTGGGACTAATACATTTCGCTTTAGCCTCGTATTTCCAGAGCATGTGTGTTAATGTCGCTGTGTCTGTCTGGCAGACATTACAGATGTTGGTGTTATAGACTTCAGGGTATATTCGGTGATATAGCACTGGTTTAGGATTAGCGTTCGTTTGCAGCTGTCGCTAGGTATAATTGTTTGGGCTCGGCATAAATTGCCACGAGGCGAAAATTAGCATCACCAGGCAAAGTAGAACGCCTTGGTCAGTTCGTTGTTTCCCGTAAGTTCATCTCGGTCCGCCTACTCTTCAACAAGGCCATCGCGGCATCATCTTCTGCACAGGCTATTGCGTCGCGTGTGGTGGAGAGCGCGACCTCGTTTATTCACGAAATCTACGTGGCTGACAGCACTTTAGCACGCTTGTTCTTCCTAAAAGGTATGAGTTTAGCAAACAGCTTTCTCGATTTATTATCTGCATGGCAGTGATGCAACAAGGGTTTGATTCTTTGATGGGATAGTGATGGTTTATTTCCCGATCCGGCATGTTTGTGATCCGGGCTAGACCACACAGGGAGATACCAGGAGTACTTGTCTCCATACAGCCCGAAAGTTTTTATTGCGATAGCAATTATATGAAAACTCTCGGCTAGATTTTGCCATTGGCGTCGCCGTTGCTCACATATATGTATA